CAGAAATCAATGGCTTTTTTATACAACAATAATGAATTCTCAGAAAAAGAAACTAAACAATCTCATTTACCATTACAACAAAAAATTAAGATACCTATGAATAAACCAAGGAGGTAAAAGACTAGTACTCCAAAAACTACAGGACATCGAAAAAAGAGATAGAGGAAGATATAATCAAGTAGAAGAATATACCATGTTCATGGATTGGTAAAATCAACATCATACTACCCAAAGCAATCTATAGATTCAATGCAATCCCTATTAAAATACCAATGCCATATTTCACAGACCTAGAACAATTACTCCAAAAATTTATATGGAACCAACAAAGACCCCAAATAGCCACAGCACTCTTAAGAAAGGAGAATAAAGTTGGAGGAATCACAATACCAGAGTTCAAGTTATACCAGAAAGCCACCGTAATCAAAACAGCCTGGTACTGGTGCAAGAAAGGCATATAGATGAATGGAACAGAACAGAGAACCCAGAAATCGACCCAAGCCATTATGCTCAATTATTTGATAAAGGAGGCAAGAGCATACAATGAAGTCAAGATAGTCTCTTCAATAAATAGTATTAGGAAAATTGGACAGATACATTTAAAAAAATGAAACTAGCCCACCAACTTACACCATACACAAGAATGAACTCAAAATGGATAAAAGACCTAAATGTAAGTCATGAAACCATAAGAATCCTAGAAGAAACCATGTTACAGATACATCTCCTAGGGCAAAGGAAACTAAGGAGAAAATAAACAAAGGGGACTACATAAAAATAAAAAGCTTCTGCACAGCAAAAGAAACCATCAGCAAAATGACAAGAAAGCCCACTGTATGGGAGAACATAGTTGCCAAAGGTACATCCAATATGGTGTTAATTTCCAAAATACATACAGAACTCATACAACTTAACAAAAGGAAGACAAACAAACCAATTTTAAAAAGGGCAAAGGACCTACATAGACACTTCTAAAAGTGGACATACAGAAGGGCAAGAGACATATGAAAAAGTGCTCAAAGTCACTGATCATCAGAGAGATGGAAATTAAAATGACAATGAGGTATCACCTCACACCTGTCATAATGGCTACCATCAGCAAATCCACAAATGACAAGTGCTGATGAGGATGTGGAGAAAAGGGAACCCTAGTACACTGCTGGTGGGAATGCAGACTGGTGCAGCCATTATAAAAAGCAGTAAGGAGTTTCATGAAAAAATTAAACGTGGAACTGCCATTTGATCCAGTGATCCCAATTCTAGGAATATATCCTAAGAAATCACAAACACCAATCAGAAAGGATGTATGCACCCCTATGTTCATAGCAGCACAATTTACAATAGCTAAGATTTGGAAACAGCCTAAGTGCCCATCAGTAGACGAGTGGATAAAAAAGCTGTGGTACATTTATACCATGGAATACTATGCAGCTGTAAAAAAAGAAGGATCTCTTACCATTTGAGACAGCATGGAGGGGCCTGGAGAATATTATGCTAAGTGAAATAAGTCAGTCAGAGAAAGACAAGTATCACATGATCTCACTCATATGTGGAATCTAATGAACAAAATAAACTGATGAACAAAAAATAGATCCAGAGACACAGAAACATAGAATCGATTGGGGCATCTCAGAGGGAAGGTGGGGAAAGGTGGGAAGTAATCAACCAAAGAACTTGTATGCATATATGCATAACCCATGGACACAGACAATAGGGTGGTGAAAGCCTAGGACGGGGGATAGGGGCAGGTTAGAATGGACCAATGGGGGGAAATAGGGGACATATGTAATACTTTCAACAATAATCACTCATATGTGGAATCTAATGAACAAAATAAACTGATGAACAAAAAAATAGATCCAGAGACACAGAAGCAGAGAATAGATTGGGGCATCTCAGAGGGAAGGTGGGGAAAGGTGGGAAGTAATCAACCAAAGAACTTGTATGCATATATGCATAACCTATGGACACAGACAATAGGGTGGTGAAAGCCTAGGACGGGGGATAGGGGCAGGTTAGAATGGACCAATGGGGGGAACTAGGGGACATATGTAATACTTTCAACAATAAAGATTTAATTTAAAATTAAAATTTAAAAAATAACTCCTCATTTCTTGAAGAGAACACTTAAACACTGCTGTTATATGGCAAGCACTTTATATATATTAACTTATAACATCTAAGTAACTCTTCAGGTTGGCACTTAGTATTCCCCAATAGGCTAGCTATACTTAACCTCTAGCCTTTCCTCACCTTTTCAGCTGCCATTCTACTCACTTACTGGACCACACTCACAGGTACCTCAAGTCCTCTCCTCACCTCTCTCTGAGACACTGTCCCCACCTCTGTCCTGGCCTCAACCCCAAAAATCCACTGTCAAAGACCAAGGTGGGCTCCAACCCCACCTTCATTAACCCTTCCCAATCTTCATGGTCCAAACTGCTTCCTTCCCATTATTCTTTGTGGTACTAGAAGTACAAACCATTTCTTTTGTTCTTTCACAAAGTTAAAAATATAATTTCAAAAAATTTTTAAACAATTTATGAAGAACACAATCTCTTACAGGAATTAAACCTAGTACAGCTTACATCATCTTTCTCTAGTATCCTCTCCCTACACTGCCTGACTCAAGAATTGTGCACCATAGATCCTGCTCAACAAGTAAATGCCATGTAAATACATCCATTTAATCCATACAACACAGACTGGCCTTAAAGAGCAGTTTTCAGTACCTACTACACATAGAGCAACATACATTATCCCATATCATTTGTTTACTGCCAAAATTGTACACAAATGGCTACATTATAAGATAGTTTATTGTATAAATTTATTAAGCATTTTCTATGTGCCAAGTACTGTGCTAGGCACTTTACATGCATAAGTTGGAATATTTTCCCAAAACTTTTCCATAAAAGTACCAGCTTTATATTCAAGTCATTTTAAAGTTATATTGTGGAGGTTCTCCATTTTTTGAAAAATAATATACTGTTTGGGGAAGAAGCATTAACCTAAACTAATTCAACATGGTAGTGTAGAAACCATCTGACAGAATCTAGTTTTTAAAATTGGACCAGAAAACAAAGAAATTTAACATCAGTGTATTAATGATTCCTGGGACATGACTTTACTATTTCTTGGGCTGCAAAATTTGTAAGTAAGCTTTATAAAGATCACTTTTTTTAAAAAAGGAACACAGCAAGTTGTTATGTTGTGGGACCACAAATCTCAAGCATACTACTGCAGGGAGAAAAAAACACATATAGGTCTGAAAATTCGTAGTTGAGTGAAAATAAAACTTCCAGTGCCATCATCATATATGGATTTTTTAAAGCATCTCAGAGGAAAGCAAAGATGTGCTCTGGAAAACATGTTCACATGTTCATATTTCATATCACATATATGGGTAATTATAGTATTTATTTCCACCATGTAAATATTACATATCAAATGGACCCCAAAAAGGATTGTTTTAATCTTCTCATTGGAAAAACAGAGCCTTGCCTTACATTGGGGTCCCCTTAGACATTGTGGTTCCTTCACAATCACCCAGTGCATGGGGTATGATGCCCATTTCACAGGTGAGGAAGTGGGCTCATTAAGAAACTTGCCAAAGTCACACAGCTGTTCAGTACAAAGTTGCCTGACTTAAAGTCTGTGTTCTCAACCACTGCCTCCATGCAGGCGGCTCCCACATGTCTGTGTTTGGGAGGATTGTTGGACATAAACTGTGTCTCCTCCTCCAGCAACATCAGCATAAAAAGCACACACTTCCTTAAGCATGTGTGAAGAGCCTTCTGTGCTGACCATGCTAGAAGCTTCCATGCTCTCTCTAGAAGCAAATCCTTGTACAGGCCTGCCACCACCTCAGTAAGGGTGAAACAGGTGGCACGTGAAGGCTAATTAAAGAAGCATCTATCTGATCCCTCCTCAATGCTACACAACTTTCACCACATAAAATAGAGATGAAAATAATAGAAAAGGTAAAGAACTGAAAAATAGGCCCCTGCTTATGTTCTGACTGATACACATTTGTTAAATGAACCAGAGAAATTTTAGAGCCACAAAGTCGAGATTCTAAGATTTCGTGTATTTGACCTGAATCTCAAGGCAGCAGCTGACCATAAAACACGTGTGCTCAAACTGCTGGGTTTGTTCCCAAATTCTCAGCTATGTTATATACCTAAAACTAATACAATATAATATTGAATGTAAACTGTAATTGAAAAAAAATTATTTTAAAAAATGGAATATAATCTCTCATTCAATAGAAAGATAAAACTGTCCAGAAAATCTATTTTTGCTCAAAATCCTAACACCTCTGAAAGATCATCATCCCAGTAGTTTAAAGCCCATAAGATGTTTTGATGATAACATTTCCTATCACAAAAATCCTAATTTTGCCCTGGCCAGTATGGGAGGATGGTTAGAGCATCGGTCTGCGCACCCAAGGGTCGTGGGTTCGATTCCCAGTCAAGGACTTATACCTGGGTTGCAGGTTCAATCCACAGCCCCAGTCAGGGTATGTGTGGGAGGCAACCAATACCTCTCTCTCTCTCTCTTTCTCTCTCTCTCTCTCTCCCCTCCCTCCCTCCCGCCCTTCCACTTTCTCTAAAAACTCAATGGAAAAAGTATCCTTGGATGAAGATTAACAACAACAAAAAAATCATCATAATTCTGACCTTCATGTTACAAGAGGTCCACACTTTTTTTAATCCTCACACGAGGATATGTTTTTTTTAATTGATTTGATAAAGAGAGAAATGCAGAGATAGAAAAACAATCCATCAGCTGACTCCCAGGGATCAAACTGGCAACTTAGGTATGTGCCCTGACTGGGAATCTAACCCATAACCTTTTGGTGTACGGGATGACACTCCAACCAGCTGAGCCATCCCACCAGGACAAGAGGTCCATACTTTTAACTGCCTTGTATCTTCCCCTGTTCTTCCAAGGAGGTAGGAAGCCCTTATGGAATTGAGCACAGGCCCTTAACTCACCTGAATGTGTATGGCGCCCTCTACTGCTTCTTGAATATTTGAGCAACCAGTGATGAGGAACAGCTGCTGTTCTGCGCTCAGTGAACCTTTCAGAGAACTTGACTGCTCCAGCAACTTCATGTCTTTCCTTAAAAAAAGGAAAGTGTATTCACTGTGAGTATTCAAAACCAAATTTTAAAACAAAAAGGTCAACATCCCTCATCAGTAGGGAAATACCAATCAAAACCACAAGGATAGGTCACTTCACACCCATTAGTATGGCTACTAACAAAAGAAGAGAAAATAAACCAAGCGTTAGTGAGGATGTGGACAAACTGGAACCAGGTGCACTATTGGTAGGAATGTAAAACATGTGGCAAGCAGTTTGGTGGTTATTCAAAAAGTTAAAAATACAGCTAGCACATGATCCAGCATTCCATTTCTTGGTACATAACCAAAAAAATTGAAAGCAGGGACTCAACAGATATTTGTACACTCATGTTCATAAAGGCACTGTTTGCAATAGTAAAAAGTTAGAAACAAGGCCCTGGACGGGTAGCTCAGTTGGTTAGAGCATTGTCCCCATATGCCAAGGTTATGGGTTCGATTCCTGGTCAGGACACATACAAGAAGCAACCAGTGAATGCATAAATAAGTGGAACAACAAATCAATGTCTCTCTTTTTCTTTCTTTCTTTCTCTCTCTCTCTCTCTCTCTCTCTCTCTCTCCCCTCTCCCCACCCCCACCCCCACCCTTTCCTCTCTCTCTAAAAATTGATTTAAAAAAAATAAAAACAACCCAAATATCCATAGACAGATGAATAAATAAAGTGTGGTTCATCCATACAATGGAACATTATTTAACTTTCAAAAGGAAGGAAATCCTGTCACATGCCACAACATGGATGAACCTCTAGGATATTATGTTAAATGAAATAAGCCAGTCACAAAAAGACAAATACTGTATGATTCCACTTATTTGAGGTCCCATAGAGACACAAAGTAGAAGGGTAGTTGCCAGTGCTGGGGGGGAGAATTATTGTTTAATGGGTAGAGTTTCAGTTTTGCAAGATGAAAAGTGTTATGGAGATGCACAATAATATGAATGTATTTAATATCACTGTACTGCACACTTAAAATTACTATGATAGTAAATTTCCGGTATTTTACAATTAAAAATTTTTTTCAGAAAGGATGAAACAAGGCTGACGGGAGGTGAAACTGGAAAGCAGGAGTTCTTCATCCTTACCCTCAGTCCCTGGGGAGAAGGTTTGAAAGACCGTATGTTCTAATCAGGACCATCTGGCTTCCTGGTGTAGGAACTGTGCTCAGAAGGGCCCTGTGCTGGATATAATGCTCTGCTGTCAGCACCTTAAAACTCTTAATAAATATTGAGCCAAAGGCCCACATTTGCACTTGGCCTCACAAATTATGTAGTCAGTCCTGCTGAAAACTCATGATGGGTTAAATAAACAAGGCAGAGTGCATACACAAACAGACACAGACACAAGCGCACACACACAGCTGCTTAAGGAGCACCATTCATGCTTTCCAAAAAATCCTGGGGATTTTTCTGCCAGTGAGTCAAATAATTTTTACATGATTTCATGTCATGCTTTTTACCTTAAAGCTGTCAAAGTCCCTCAGCCCAAGAACACATCACTTCATCTCCTGAATTACATGCAAAATAGTGTCTTCAGATTTGACTTCAGATCAACTCTCTGTGCACATGTGTGTTGTCATTTTTTCAGTTGTGGCTATTGAGCCAATTCAAGCAGCTTATACTGGTATTAGTTGTACAGAGTACTGTACGGTGTCATAGTGACAGATTCAAAATTTAAGATTTATCAGTTTGATACCTAAAATCAAGAAAGAACCACCCTGGACGGTGTTGCTCAGTGATTAGAATGTTGGCCCGAGCACCAAAGGGTCTCAGGTTCAATTCCCAATCAAGGGCACATTCCTGGGTTGTGGGTTCATTCCCCACCCCTGGTCAGGTTACATTCAGGAGGCAACCAGTCCATCGATGTGTCTCTCACATCAATGTCTCTCTCTCTCTCTCTCTCTCTCTCTCTCTCTCTCTCCCTCCTTCCCTCCCTCTCTCAAAATATCTTCAGATGAGGATTAACAACAACAACAAAAAAGAACTGGTTTAAGTGCCAGCAAATACATATTTTATACACCATCAAGGGAAATGCAGCAAAAAGAGTCATAAGAAAAGGTTACCCTACTGAGATACAAAGGGAAAGCACGGGTTTCCAAGTCCTAGGGCAGCGATGGCGAACCTTTTGAGCTCGGCCTGTCAGCATTTTGAAAAACCCTAACTTAATTCTGGTGCCGTGTCACATATAGAAATTTTTTGATATTTGCAACCATAGTAAAACAAAGATGCATATTTTTGATATTTATTTTATATATTTAAATGCCATTTAACAAAGAAAAATCAACCAAAAAAATGAGTTCGAGTGTCACCTCTGACACGCGTGTCATAGGTTCGCCATCACTGTCCTAGCGTTTCTGGGATCACACATCAGTATCATCCAGCAAACCTCCCAGAACACAGCTGCATTTTTTATTCAAATTACCACAGTGAGGAGAGCTCCATATGATTCAAAGATCATTTCTTTTAATTTCACGTTTTTGATGCATCTTTCAAAATTTTTTACAATTATACAATACTATACATATACTAAAAACCATGTAAGCCCTAGTTGGTGTGGCTCAGTTGGTTGGAGAGTTGTCCGGTACAACAGAAGGTTGCAGATTCAATTCCTGGTCAGGGCACATACCTGGGTTGCAGGTTCGATCCCCGGTCAGGGTGCAATCCATGTGTCTCTCTCACACCAATGTTTTTCTTTTCCTTCCTCTCTCTCTCTCTCTCTCTCTCTCTCTCTCTCTCTCTCTCTCTTTCTCTCCCTCCCTTCCTCTCTATAAAAAATCTATTTTAAAACAAACATTTAATAGTACACTTTAAACAAGTTGATAAATGATATCTCAATAAAGCTGTTGTATTTGTTTCCCATCACTCCTGTAACGAATTACCACAACTCAGTGGCTTCAACAACACACACTTACCATCTTACAGTCTGGAAGTCAGAAATCTCAGGTAGACTAATATCAAAGTGTTGGTGGGGCTGTGTTCCTCTGGAAGGCTCTGGAGGTGCATCTATTCCTTGCCTTTTCCAGACCCTAGAAGCCACCTGCTTTCCTTGGCTTCATGGCCCTCTTCTACCTTCATTCCAACCTCTACATCTATCATCAGACCTCCTTCTTTGAGTCTCCTGCCTCCCTCTTTCTCCCACAAGGATCTTTGTGATCACATTGGGCCACCCAGATAATCTCCCTATTTTGATATTCTTAATTTTATTATATTTGCAAAGCCTCTTTTCATGTAAGGTGACATATTCACAGGTTCCAGGATTAGGACCTGGACATCTTTGGGGAGCCATTATTCTGCCTACCATACCTGTTTTTTTTAAGTATAAAAGAAATATAATATGTAATATATATAAATTTCCTATAAAATTACTATCTAATATTATGCTTACAGAAAAGAAAGAATCTGCTTAATATGACTGGCTCTGTGCTTGGCAGATATTATTCTATCATGTTCTGAATTCCACTGGCTGTTGTCAATCTGTAGTTCCTTTATAGGCAGTCTGTCTTTTCTCTCTCTGGCTGCTTTTCAGACTTTTCTTGTGTTCCCTGGTGTTTTTATAACTTCACTATGACTTATCTAGGGATAGACACCCTTTGTATTTATGCTCCTTGGGACACTTGTTTCTTCCAAAATGAGGATCCATGTCTGTAGTTGACATAAACTCTCAATCATTATGTCTTCATAAATTGCTCCTTTCCCTAGTCTCTCTAAATCTTTCAGACCTCTAGTGAACTACTTTACATGTTCCATCAGTTCAACTCCTGAATTACATGCTAAATAGTATCTTCAAATCCTACTTCAGGTCAATTCACTATGCTCATAATACCTGGTCTCTCCTGTGTTTTGTGATTTTTTATTGTGAGCTGAACTCTATCTGTGGGAATTCTTTTAGTCTTGGGTTAAAGGTACATTATTCTGGAGACAGAATGTATTTTGCTTCTAACAAGCACTTGGAGACACTAATTACCAAGGGACCAATCTGAATTCTTGGCATGGAGTTTTTAAGACCACACAGGTAGTATGAATTTGGGTTTCAAAACTCTAAGAGGGCTGATCTATATATATAAAAGCCCAAGTGACTGGCCGACTGGTAGCTATGACGTGCACTGACCACCAGGGGGCAGATGCTCAACACAGGAGCTGCCGAGCTGCAGTGACTGGGCAGCTGCAGTTCTCGGGTGACGCACCTGGAACCAGAGAGGAGGGAGCCTGATTCCAGAGTGCATCACACAAGAACAGCCCTCTCGCAATCTGGGATCCCTCAGGGGATGTCGGAGAGCCAGTTTCGGCCCAATCCCCGCAGGCCAGGCCGAGGGACCTCACCAGTGCACAAATCCGTGCACCAGGCCACTAGTTTATGTATAAACTCTCAGAGAAACTCTTTCTCCTCTCCACCCAGAGTCAAAGTCAGAGCCTCCACGTATAAGTGAGTTATATTCTTCCTAGTTCTCCATTTCACTAACAATGCAGCCCTTTGAATACTAGCTTCATTTGAGATCTCCAATTTGATCCCCCATCATCTACAGACTAAGGTTTGCTATTAGAACCAAAGGTCTAGATTAGCAAGATAGGAAAACACTCTTAGAGCAGTTGTAGTTTTCACACATCCCTTGGGATTCCTGCTCTCTGACTGGTCTCTCAGAATTGATGTTACTTTCTTACCAGTTCAGCTGCACATTATAAAGAAACTATGAACTATATACATCTACTCCATATTTTTAAGTATTTCAAGCTGAAAGGATTTTCAGGATATCTGCTTTGCCATATTGCCAGAAACTAATTTCTAGACTGTTTCTTTAAAGTATAATATTCCTAGATACTTGGTATATTTTATATTTCATGAGAAAAGGAAAATATTCACTGCCTTCAATTTTGTAATGATAATGTTATTCAATGTGAATACGAGCTCTACTATACAAATAAATTTATATAATTATTAAGTGATTTCGTTACAGTTCTTGTTCACATTCAGAGGAACAAAAACATTAC